GACCTACTCGCTGCGAAGTGGACAAAACAATGTTGCGCTGCATCTTTATATATATATATACAAACACACACCTTATACATGCACATGTACCTCCAAGATGTAAACTTATAAGAATTTTAAGATGTGCCTCCAGACTCTACTTAGCACAAGATCCAGAAATAGCGTGTGCAAACGTTTGCAAACGCTATTGTTCGAACAAATTCAGCTTGCAGTTTCTGAAGCTTCGGTTGCAGCTGCACTTCGAATGCTGTCATCCAAAGCCGTTTTCTTGTTCTGCATCTATTGTGTCTTCCTTTTCATTTGTCGCGGTGATGTCGATGAACGTTGCGGGACGAGTTCGCGTGGTGTTCGTCGGGAGCACGGGCAATGGAAGCGCAATGTCACTCATCTGCTTTCTTTCTCAGATGTCCAGATCGTCAAGGCTTGATTGCAGACCAACTCCTTCCAGATTGGGCAGGAAAGGTGTGTCCCAAGTGCAACCAAGGCATACTGTCTTCACTGAAAGTACACTGTGGAGAAAGTGTGCCCAAATACAGCTGCTCCCGCAAAAGTTGCCAGCAAAGAGTTCATCCCACTACTTACTTGCATACTATCTGCCAAGCTTGTCGTGGACCAGAAGGACATTCCCTCCAAGTGCAACCTGCTATGCTCTTGTTGCTACTTCTCCGTGTGCCCTTGGTCTCTGTCCATATCCCCTTGAACATCAACCACAAAGCCGTGGAGAGTATGCAACGGGGCTTGGAAGAAGTTCGCAGAAAGTACGTTGAGAAGAAAGAGAAGGACATAGAAGGGCATTACCTTTGCAAAAGACAAGGGATGGACCGACGTGGAAGGTGATGAGGTCACGTTTCACAAACGTAACGTCTCCCAAGACCCGAACTTCAACCAGCAAGTCGAAGGAGACAAATGCCTTCTATGGGAGCAATGGTGTGGCCTGGTGCAGAGGGGCAAGCCAGACACTCTTATCCTCACTCGCCTGAAACCTGCCCTCACTGTTCATCGTTCTCCAGGCCCTGGGCCCATCACCAAGCGTGATTGGACTCCATTGAACAAAGCACTTGGCTGGAAAAACACATCATCTTTCACATAGACTCCGCCAAGGCCTACAAGCTGAAGCTTCCTGGTATGCACCATGACTCCGTGGCGCACAAGAAAAAGCGGGTCAAGCACCGAAGAAGCCTACCTTTGTCAAGATCGTGAAGCACAAGTTGCCAGGAGGTAAGCAGCTCACGGTCAAGGCGGGCACCCAGCACATAGATCGTTGCTGGAAATTTATCAAGGACCGTCTGTGCAAGGGCACACATTCTGGCACAGGCCTCAAGCGCATCTGGGAACTCGTGCATGACTACATGTCTGGCATTGCCGTGCAGGCTTGATCGCATCTGCCCCCCAAAAAAGTGTTCCATGGCTGTCTCCATTGCTCACCAACAGTTTGGCATCTTCTCCTTTCTTCTTCCACCACTGATTGCAATGTCAAAAGCTGTCGCAGGTGGGCCTGCCAATCATGTGCACAGCATCACAAGCTGTCAAAGTGGTAGACTTTTGGGGGGGTAGTTTAGTTTTTGTCTATTATATTATCATATAAGTTAGAGTCAGAGTGACTTCAAAGCAGCTAGAAAAGGGAATCCCTTCTAAAAGTGCCTTGAATACGGCTTCTACTATATGTAGTCGTACTGAGAGAGAGGACTGTAGATCCCTGCAACCTGTGTCGCAGGATCCAAAGCTTTCTGATCCGAGCTCCACTGCGTTCTACTCTGCCAGGGTCACAGAACATCCTTGCTGGAAAGGACTTTTCTAATCAATACATTTTAGGAAACTTCCTTGGGAATTTTTTCACTGGGAATCGTTTCACGTGTAATAACAAGAAACTTTTTGTTTGTGTTTGAGCGCACTAGTCATAAGAAACTACTGGTACTAGGTTGGAGGGCATCGCTATTAGGATGGAGATTGTGCTTCCACCGTTACCTTCGCGTCGAATCCCATTCTCCTTGGCTGCCTCGGCCTATACACATTGATGTGCTCCAACAATGATATGCCATGAAATCTGGTAAAATCTGCGCTGAAGAGGTTGCTTTGAGATTTCTGGGAGCTTGTGTGGCAGATGCCGTTGAAGTCTCTCTCCCACACGTGGATCATCCCAGGCTTCGTTTACTGCAAGCCTGCAAGGGCGGGTCGGGCTCTACATTGAGGCTGCTTGGACGTCACACCGCGGTTAGGGCAGAGCGCGGTGTCCGGGGCGGGCGGAGCTGGCCGTTGCGTGTGAAAAAACGGTCTTTGTGGGTGAAGCATCGGTCCACCCCGTCCGAGTCCATCGGAATCGGTTTGACCCGGATGAAAAATGAAGCGGGCGAGTTCGTAAGCAGGGTCCATTGGATTGGCTGAAGGATTTTCCAAAACGTCCCCTGACAGTTCACCTGAGTAGAGTAGCTCTGCTGTGCGGGGTAGTTGACGGAAGGGTAGCAGATTTGCTTAGTGCCATGTGGATGACACTGGGACAGTGTGGCTATGAGCTCACTAGACACGTTTGACGCAACCCTTTTTGTGCAGTCTCCACGACGTGTGTGAAAGTACGGGAGGCCAGGCGAAAGGCTTGTTTGGCCGAAAAGTGCTGGGAAGCTAGGCCGCTGAGGTTTTTGGTTCCTTGGTGGTTTGTCCATGTTTGTCCTCCTTCTCGTAAGGCAAACGAATTGATTGCAATTTGCAATTGTACGCTAGTAGCTCCTTGTTATTAGTAACAAGGGCATTGCTACTAGTAACAAGGGCATTTATTACTAGTAACAAGAAGCTACTAGTTTGTTTTGTCTGACAACCTTAACAGGTGGGTTGACTCCAACTCGCCCACTGACCACAAAAACACCACAGCCCAACAAGGACTGTTTTAAAACATGGTTCGGTCGGACTTCGGGTGTCCCCAATTCGATGGTTGGAACCAGTCCACGGTCAATCGGTTTCATGGACATGTCACTCCAATTTGGACTGCAAGGAACAACAGGGATCTCTGAAGTTTTTGAGTCACGAACATAGGGGGAAAACCCCGCTTGGGGGTGTTTGCTTCGGGCTGCTGGTTCTTGGCTCTTGGGTTTTGTTTTCGTTATTTGGCATGTGTCACTTAGAGTTTGGCCTATCTTTGCCCTATCTTTCTTTCTTTTGGGTTGCTTGATGTTTCGGTGAGAGTTTCTTACGTTCGTTTGAGTTTTGTCCCGAAAAGGTGTCTGCTAAACGGTGTCTGCTTGTTGTTTCAGATCGTTGCGGCCGAGCTGCCTTGATTGGGGAGTAATGCTGCAGATGCGCTCAGCAGTCCCTCAGGATGTAGTTCCCTCGTTCTACAGTCTTAGCTGTGAGCAGAAGCCTGTCAAAGCTGCAATGGCCATATTTTATCAATTCTCGGTGACCAGCTAATTGATGCTCTCTGGAGCCTCATGAGCTCGTAAAAATCGCTTGGTACATGTTGGTACACGGCTGGATGAGGTGTTCCCCTCGTGGGCTTGGGGCCGTTTCCTCGTGGAGTCGTCTGACACTCTGAGGAGTCGTCTGCTGGTGACCCCTACAACGCGGGAGCCCTGTGGGGCTCCGACACGACAAGACGGGCAGATGCGCAGACTGGCCTTGGAGACGGGCAGATGCCAGAGTGGGTCGCATCGACGAAGGAGTAAGCGTCCTTGCTCTTAGTAGCGATGCTAGCAGCAAGAATGCTCCTAGACTCCTAGTAGCGATGCCAAGAGCCCCTAGTAGCCTTCTTGTTCCTAGTAGTAAGGCCAGGAGCCCCTAGTAGCGCCCTTGCTCCTAGTAGCGATGCCCTTTGCTCCTAGTAGCAAAAATGCTCCTAGTAGTAAGGCCAGGAGCCCCTAGTAGCGTCCTTGCTCCTAGTAGGGATGCCAGGAGCCCCTTGTAGCGTCCTTGCTCCTAGTAGCGATGCCAGGAGCCCCTTGTAGCCCTAGTAGCAAGAATGCTCCTAGTAGCGATGCCAGGAGCCCCTAGTAGCGCCCTTGCTCCTAGTAGCGATGCCCTTTGCTCCTAGTAGCAAAAATGCTCCTAGTAGTAAGGCCAGGAGCCCCTAGTAGCGTCCTTGCTCCTAGTAGCGATGCCAGGAGCCCCTTGTAGCGCCCTTGCTCCTAGTAGCGATGCCCTTTGCTCCTAGTAGCAAAAATGCTCCTAGTAGTAAGGCCAGGAGCCCCTAGTAGCGTCCTTGCTCCTAGTAGCGATGCCAGGAGCCCCTAGTAGCATCCTTCCAGAGTCGGTCGGATCGATGAAGGATCGGGTTTAGACATCGTTGACAGAACACATCCCAAAACGCTGGGTTTGGACATCATGTAGACTCTTGAAAATCCCACCCCATTTGGATTGAAACACCTGTGTATATGGGGATTATTGGGGTTTATTCATCAAGAGTCTACATTACTTACCTTGTTGGTTAGACCTCGTGGTTCACGTCTTGTCTCTCACGCTACCTCGGCAGGCGAAACGCTTTGCATTGTTTGAGACCAAACACCGGCTCGACATCTTTGATTAGACGAGCAAGCGAGCCGCATGCGGAAAAGGAATGGTTTTACTTGGGTTCCTCTTCGATTCTTGCGAGTTCACAAGCTCCGAATTGGCACCGCTGGCGGAGGCCGAATGGTTGCAAGCTTACCTCACTGCCTTCCAAAGGCCTTCTGTCATCGAGCTTTTGTGTAGATGTCTTTACGGGTGTGTCTTGAGTGCCGGATACTTTGTCAAGAGTTTATTTGTGCTCTGTACGCAAAGCACATGGATGATCTCATAGGGCAACTTTTGTGCCCATGGAAACGCAACGTCCGTCCCGTCCCTCAGAGGAGGATGGGTGCACGTGATCTTTCCATATCTTCTCTTTACATCCATTCGTTCTTTCAACTCAGACAAGACCACTCGCAGCAATGACCCATGTCCAAGCTCAGCTTGGCGCTCAGACGGCGAGCATCCACGCCGCCATCCCGTCAGGATGGGCCTGCAGCCACATCTCGTGTCCACGAGTCAGGACCCGAGACGTCCGGCCCGACCGGTCGGACACCGCCGATGTGGCGCGGGGGCCGCGTTCCGCACAAGCAGAAACGCCTGTGGAAGATGCCAGCGACGCCGAATGAAGACGGCTAAGCAGGTTTGCGAGCGAGGAGAGGCTCAGCCCCGATCTGCACGCCCCCCAGGAGGCCCAAGCTGGTGCCCTCTACTTTTGGCGCATCAACCAGATGTTCGGAGGCCCTCCGCATACCGTTCAGGTGACCGGAGGTCCCAAACGTGGGGTTTGAGTCGGTGCGAGTCGTTTCGGGTCGTTCCTCGGTCGAGACTTTTGGGGGAGGCCCAAACGTGGGGCGCCAAAGTGGTCCGTGAGCTGCTTGCTGACCTGCTTCGCGGGCTACTGGCAGGTCATCCCTTGTGCTCTCTCAAGTGACGGGGTAGGCCGGTAGGTAGGTCCTTGTATTGAACAGCACGTGGCCAAAGACGCGCACGGTGTGCTGGTCATGTGCTGCTCCTCGCCAAGTCCCCCGATGAAATGTGGATTGATTCGGATCACCAATCACCGGAAGCATCAATTCGTCAGATGGATAATATGGCAAATGTACATGGACTGATCAGAGTCTTTGGGTGCATTTGCTTGGGGGAGCTTCCTGGGTATGCCCAGGCTTAGCACTGAGAGACACTCTTGTGCAACGTTGGTGGCACCACCAGCCGCCTCCAGCTTGACCGACCTTCCACACCAACTTGACATGGTGAAGGAGACGGGTCATGCCATTGGTGTCATAGCCTTTGTTCACGATCCCACCTCCAACGACGTGGGGCTCCTGGCATCGCTACCAGGAGCAAGGACGCTGGGGCTCCTGCCATATAGCATATAGCCTTTGAACAGGGTGCGACTCTGGTACTCCAAGCGATGTTTTCTTAGTGAAAAGCTTTTGAGCGCCTGGCTCTTCCTGCTTGACAGGCGGTCGACTGGCTGGTTCACCTGGCGTGGGCCTGGCGGTGGCTCAGCACCTGGCTGACCGGGTGCTCAGCCGAGCCCGGGGGACCTCCCACCATCCACCGGGCGTCTTGATCCGGGGCACCTCCCTGTGGCGGGTCAAGGCTTTGATCCGCACCCCAACAAACGTCCAACAACGTGGACAGTTCTGGGACGGCTGGACGGATGATCCTTAAAGAAACAGCATGAAACAGGACGCCTGGAAGCAGAGCGCTCCTCCAGCCCTTGCGGGTTCAGAGTCTTCTAGATGATGTCCCTGAGTTTCGAGTTCTGCCACCAGGAAGAGTTGGTTTTGGTCGCCACAACCACAGTCGTCACACCCACGATTCGCAGAGTTGAGAAGTGTGAGAACCTCCCCACCCCCTCGGAGCGCGCCGTGCGGTGCATCGTTTTTTTTGGGGCTCCGCAACCGGCTGCCGGCTCCCACGGTGCCGGCTCCGACTCCAAACAGCACCGGTCAAAAAACAGTACAGTAATGTTAGAGTCTTGGGCTGATAACCCCCATATATAAGCCCCATTTTCAAAAGGATCTTTACTTCATCTAAATGGGGAGGGTCCGGTTTATGAATCAAGAGTCTACATGAACGGTTTCCCCTGGAAACCGGGGGCACCTGGACCTCCTCCCACCCCGGCCGGTGGAGCGAGGCCTTTCAGACCGCCCTGTGGCCGCGACCAGAGACGATGCAGCGGGGAGACCCGCGAGATGCTGCGCGGGGAGACCGGAGCCTCCACCGGTAGCTGCCCACCATGCGGTTTTTTTCCGCATGCTGCTCCCACAAGTGGGAGAGAAGAGGAAAGACATGGAGCCAACATTGAATGGTTCATGTATGTTCATGTTGGCAGCTGTCGAATCCCACCGGGGCTGTCGGAAGAAAATGTTCTGCACTCTTCAGGTTCTATCAGGACAAGATTGCCCTGCGGGATCTCTTCACCAGGACGAGTTGCCATGTTGGTCACCGTGCTTCGTCAGGACAGTTTCCTTGCAAACCGACCCAGGTGCCGAGGCACCCCACGAGACTCTCCCTCTTGAAGTGACTCCCAGTCCGGTATGTATAAGGGTACGGTATACGCATCAGTATGTGTACACACTACCACTTTTCACATGCTTCTCACGCAGTCTTTTGCTTGGCATTCTACATGTCACATATCATATTACCTATCAGCGGCACAATAGCCAAAGGAAGCTTAGTTCTGATCAAATACAAATTTGTCCTGGTGTAGACACGCAGCGTCATACCGGGCCTAGGCTCCAAAAAGAAACCAGGATGAAGGAAGGAATGATGCGGCGAGCATAAGACGCACTGATATGGACGGTGGATGGTTTATTTCCATGATAGCAATGGACAGTAAGATTATGTAAGATTCAGATATGCAGTGCTGTGCTCTCAGGCAATGAGAGTGGAATGCTATTGGAGTACAAATACAATGTGCAAAGATGTGCAATGTGAATACCACCATCCACCACCTGCAGGCACCTCAGCACCATCCATCCACCAACCATGCACCATCCATCCACCCATGCCTGCAAAGGCGAGCGCCTCGCCCTTCCGCGCCTCGTTTGCCAAGCCCCACCAGGACGGGCGTTCCGGCGCCTCCGAGCTGGGTCGTGCAAAGCCTCGATGAGCTCGAAGACTTGCTGCGGGGGTGCCCAGCGATGGCAAGACAACTGGGTGCCCCTTGGAAAAAAAATGCTCCTGACCCGAGATGGAAGTGCCTTCAGTAAGATGAAAGACTCAAAATATTGCATGACAGAAGTGACCTACAGAAGTTGTGACCTACAGGTTCCCCAGGGAAGCTCGAACTGACGGTGCGATGAGCTTCGTTTGTCCAAGCTTGAACCAAACTTGACTCTTCTTATTGTTGGAAGCTACTAGTAACAGGTGCATCGCTAGTAGTAACAGGTGCATCGCTACTAGTAACAAGAAGCTATTAGGAACAAGTGCCTTACTAGTAGTAACAATAAGACTCCAGTTGTGATGAGCGAACGAAGTTCCCGTCCGCATGGGCTCTGCAGGCAGCGTGGGGACTTGAAAGAGGCCGATTTCCCATTGGCCGGGAGGCCACGGTGGAAACTGGACGGAGGACACTGACACTGCAGTATGATCGGTGGCCCGGACAGGGACGGAGAAGTGGAATCAGCTTGTAGTTTGTAGCTTGTAGCACGTATTCTACATGTATACTACATGTATATACTACGTTGATTCAGTGACTCTTCTGGTGCTCCATTGTGATCACGGATGCCAATGGATACCGTGAAGGAGACGCCGTCGAGTGCGGCGACCATCGGCGACCATCCCGAGAAGCGAAAAGCCATGTGTTTGACATCCCAAAGCCATGTGTGTTTGGGACTCCCTTGGCATGATTCCCTTTGGCATCCCTTCTTTTGCATCATTTTTTTGTTGCAATTTTTCACCATCAGAGGGTGGAGCGGCATTGTTGCCTTTCCTGGAGCGGCCCCAGTGCTTCCATCTAACGAGAACTTCCGTGGAGCATTTTCTTTCAAAACGGACAAAGCTTCTCGACAGGAGAAACAGGTTTGTTCCAAAATGGCCGGGTCGTTTGTTTGTTTTTCTTTTGCCGACTTGCCCTTTTTGTTGTAGCCCTTTCCTAGAAAAATATCTCGCTGTTTATGAATGTGGATTGAGGCAACTAAGTTTACTAACAGTGATTTTTTGGGGTCCAAAATCCAATATATACACACGGTCATGGGATCTTCGATGGAGCAGAAGAGTATCCTCTCCAAGGTGCTCAAGCACCCCTACGCGGCCTCCAGCCGGGGTATGAGGCCTCGACCTGCTGTGCGGCAGTCACACTGCGCTTGTTGGGGCACGATGGGGAAAAATTGTTCATGTTCTTTCAGGAATGACACTCGTTGCGAGCAACTTGGTAGGAGTCTCTTCCCAGTCTTCCAAGGAAGGGGGACATCACATGTTTGGCTAAGCCCAGGGAACCTCACCAGAAAGGTCTGCTGGGTCAGGCTTTTGCTGGTGAGTGAAGCCCTAGCGAAAAAAGGAGCACGCTCCTCAAAACATTTGGGGCTGGCCCAAAAGCATCACGTAGGATCCCCAAAAACATCACCAGACCAACAAAACAAATCAAAACAGAACCAGCCATCCAACCACTGGAGTAGTGACACTCTGGCAGCTGGAGGTCCTGCAAGACCTTGCCGGAGGTTCGAAGTGTAGTGGGGCAATGGCTCCAAGAGCATCAAGTGCCCGATGCCGAGTGTGAAAGGAGCTGAAGAAGCTGCCAGTCTTCAAGTCTAATGCGAATGGCTTCCACCCTAATAACAATGGCCTCCAACCTACTAGCAATGGCCTCCAACCTAAGAGCGATGGCCTCCAACCTAAGAGCCATGGGAGAGAATGTATATATCCTTTCATCCTGACACTTTCACATGTGGCGCTTCCGGATGGTTATTGACTTCGCTAGTCTTGGACTTTGTGGGGCAACGACTTGAACAGAAGTTGCGTTCTTCGTTTTCATCGCGTTACCATCCCTCCGGACCCGAGAGACCTTTCCCATCCCTCCAGGTTGAAGAGTTTGGAGTGTAGGGTCAACATCTCATGTTGGGAAGGGAGCAAAGGGACCAATGGATACGCAAAGGTCTCTTAAACTCTCAAGTGCAACCTGCACACACCGATCCCACCGCAGCGCCGCGCCCTCTCGAGGCCATGCCTCTTGCAGCGTCGCCTGGCCATTGCTCGCGATATGCGTGTGACCTATGCCTGCGGCCCTCAGACTCGGCAGCTCTTGGAGCGGAGCTTCGTTTGGGGACGAAGCTTCGGGTTGGAGGCCATCGCAAGTAGGTTGGAGGCCATCGCAAGTAGGCTTCTTTCCGAAACTCGAGTCAGCCCACCAGGTGGAACGTCGTAGAACTGGGACCAGCAGGTGCTGGTTAGAGCAGCTTGAGAGTGGTCCTCTTGAATTTGGTCGAATGCAAGTAGGCTTCTTTGAGTTTGGACGGTGGTTTGCTGACGTGGTTTGCCAACTTCTGGTGATGCAAGCTTTCAAGGGGCTTGAACTTCATGCGGCGGCCTGCGGAGGACAGGGTATGCTGAGGTGGTCAAGAACTAGCTCATCATGAAGGATTAGAGTTGCGGTTCAGGGCACAACATAACCTGGGTGCTGTGCTGAGGTTCGGTTGCTCGGTTTCAGAGTTGGATTCAATTGTTTTGGACTATCGCAGGTCACATTGCTTGAACATTGGGTGTGACCTCCCTGGTTCCTGACGTTCCTGGCTCGAAAGAACGTCTCGCTATTGGTCGTCGATTGGGTGGCAACTTGAACAGTTTTTGCATTGGCGTGTACGTTGGCGATTTCAAGGCATGTACGTTTCAGGTGAAAAACTTCTTGTTAGGGCACATCAATCTTTCTGGGAGTACCCCCATTGAACGCCAGGAAACTAGCCAGAATCATCTACAAGTCTACACTACAGTCCAGTGGGTACAAATTTCTCACCTCTTTTGAGTCCTCATAGTTAATCTTTCCGGCTCGGATGTTTTTCTCTCCCCAGGCCCAGATGTTTGGACTCTGTCCCTGCTCCTTCTCCTCCTCCGTCCTCTTGAGGTTGGGGGTGACATCATCCAAGGCTACTGGCGGGTGAAGGCCCATTGAACTGGGTCCAAAAACAGGTTGGAGGCCATTGCTGTTAGGTTGGAGGCCATTGCTATTAGGTTGGAGGCCATTTGCTATTAGGTTAGAGGCCATTGCTATTAGGCTAGAGGCCATTGCTATTACAATAGGTTGGAGGCCATTGCTTTTACAGTGGAGGCAATTGCTATTATTACAGTAGGTTGGAGGCCATTGCTATTAGGTTGGAGGCCATTGCTATTAGGTTGGCGGCCATTGCTATTAGGTTAGAGGCCATTGCTATTAGGTTGGAGGCCATTGCTATTAGGTTGGAGGC